CAGGAAAAAAAGTATGATGAAAACATAAAACAGATGCCAAAGGACCAGGAATAAAAGTTAGGGAATTTCCTTAAGAAATCAAGACATTCAGAAGCACCCATGAGAGGAATTTAGAAAGCCACACACATGCCCAGAGCAAAACTCATGCTCAGCAAAGATATGAAAGACCCTGAGATTTCCCCTCGAGCCAATCTTTGGGCTCAGGGTAAGCCTACCTGAGTACTGAAGTAGTACCCCTCATAGATCCAATCTGCAGACTGGGGGATTTGTTACTTTGTTTACTTGTTTTTGTTTTTGTTTTTTAATTTTGCGGGTATGGTTTTTAGCTCCTGGTGTTCAAGGGAATCTCTGTCAGAACTCTAGTTTAACATAAGGAATGAAGCTTCAGTGACCACACAAGATGAGGAACACAGCCTTTGAAAAGTAGTTTGGGAAAGTCACCAAACAAATGGACTACTATAGCCTTAACAATCAAAAACAACAACAAAAATCATGGAAAAGAGGGAGGTCTGATTATACCCTGAGGAAGTGCAGACTTTGGAGTAATTATACGAAGACCATAGGACAACTATATTAAATATGCTTAAAACCCTAAAGGAAAACATAGACAGAGACTGAAGGAAATCAGGAAAACAATATATGAACTAAGAGTATTGATAAAAAAGTAGAAATTATAAAAGGGAACCAAACAGCCACTGTGGAAAATACTGACAGTTCCTCAAGAAGTTAAACATAGGATTGCCACATGATCCATTAATTCCACTTCTAGGTATATATACCCAAAAGAATTCAAAGCAGGGACTCAGATACTTGCACACCAATGTTCCTAACAGCACTATTCACAATAGCCAAACAACCCAAATGTTCATAAATAGGTGAACAGATAAACAAGACATAGTAAAGACATACCATAAAATGCTATTCAGCCTTAAAAAGGAATAAAATTTCTGATATACACTACAACATGGGTGAACCCTGAAAATATTATGCTAGGTGAAATAAGCCAGACACAAAAAAGAATAATGTATGATTCCACTTATCTGAGCTACACAGAACAGGAAAATTCATAGAGAAAGTAGAATAGATGTTAATAGAAGCTGGACAGAATGTGGACTGAGAGGTTACAGTTTGATGGGTACAAAATTTGTATTTGGGATGATGAAAAAGTCCTGGAAATGGGTAGAGGTAATGTTTGCACAACATTGTAAATGTACTTCATGCCACTGAATTACACACTTAAAATAGTTAAAATGGAAAATTTTTGTTATGTATTTTTACAATAATAATAATAGTAACTTGTAAAAAAATGGAACTACACAAATTCTTGAGATGAAAATTAC